AGCAAGGCTTGGGGTTTAGGGTTGAGGTTTTGTATGCATCTTTTTGAGGGTTTAGGGTTTAGGTTTTTGGGGTTTAGGGCTCAGGGTTTAGGGAAAAACCGGCCCTGGAGGCGATGTGTCGAAGTATCTGCAGGGACTCGACTAAACCCTAAACCCTAAACCCCACAACTGTCTGTCGGGCTCTCATTGCAGCCAGGGTCGCAAGCATGTCTTTTTGCTAACGGAACCGTGGCCGTGCATCAAGCACCACTCCTCAGCTTATCGGGGTTTAGGGCTGTAAGGTTTAGGGTTTAGGTTCAGGGGTTTGGGGGTTGGGAGTTCTTGCTTGGAGGTTCATGGGTAGTCATGAGTAGGGTTATAAGTAGCCTAAGTGGGGTTAATAAGTATAATTACCATAGCCCTACTTCTAACTGCCTAGAACCTCCAAGCAGGGGGTTTAGGGCCGCAGCTCGAGATCTTCTTTGAGGGCCCTCTGGGTGGCACCCCACTGTTTAGGGCTTTCTGTAGGTGGGTTCAGGCTCACTTCCTCTTGACATCCTTCGGCCGTATTCTACAGACGCTCAAAAACACAATTGAGAGCCCCTCCTCCATCGACAAAGAGATTGAGCATGCAGGCGAAAAAAAAAAAGAGGGAGATTGCAACAGCTTTCCGAGGCCCCTGCCCGGAAGAAGGGGATCCGGAAGATGGCGTTGTGGCCGAGGAGGTGGACGTTGAGGCCCGGAAAGGCCTTGGAGAAGCCTCGGCGTTCGGGCTTGGGATGTTAACTCTCGACTCTCCGCCACCGCCGCGGAACCACCAGCAAACCACGCAAACCAGAAGAAGAAAGCGGGCAGGAAGTTCACACGACCCCTATGCCACCCTAAACCCTAAACCCTAAACCCTAAACCCTGAACCCTGAACCCTGACCCCTGAACCCTGAACCCTAAACCTATGCCGTGACTTCGGTACTAGAAGCCTTGACTACTCACGCAGCCTGGTCTTTCGGATCGGTGCGGCCGAGCATCCGCAGGCATCAGTCCCGAAGGCTGTCATCGGAGACACTCCGATAATACCTTCTTTCGGATCTTGGGATGTCGAGATTCGCGTAGGCTTCAAAGGCCCTATAAACCCTAAAACCCTAACAAAACCCTCAAACCCTACAACCCTAAACTCCAACCCTCAACCCTAAACCCCAAAACCCTAATCCCTTAACCCTAAACCCCAACCCTAAACCCTAAACCCTAAACGATGCACAAAAAGCTCCAGGGCTCGGTCGGCTCATTGGGGGGCTTTCGGGAATCGCATGTCCAGGGATGGAGGCATCTTTTCAGATTGCCAGGGAAAGATGCTTGCGGTTTAGGGTTTCGGGTTTGGGGTCTAGGGTTGAGGACTTTTTCCCAGCCGCGCAGCTGACACGCAGGCCACGTTGCAGGGACTCGTTCCGGAAGTGTCTGTCATCGAGAGGTTGAGGGTTGAGGGTTTAATCGCTCACACTCGGACACGCCAGGGTTCAGGGGGTTCAGCGTGCTTTGCGCATCCTGAACCCCCCCCCCCTACGCAATAAAAGGTTCTGACGAACTCGAGGACCAAAGGAATCATAAAACGAGTTTAGGGTTTAGGGTTCAGGGTTCATATATCTTAATAGGGCTTCTAGTAGTATAAGGTGCATGATACCCCAATTTTCATCAGGTTCGGCTGGTCCTCAAGGTATCCCTCACTCCGAGGATGCCAAGTAACCGTGCGGATGGCACACGAAGATGTAGGGCCCTTTCTCGGCCGGGAGGGGCGCGGTCACCCGCATCGTGACCTCAGGACGAACGCACCGAGCCAACCAAATGTCGGCAAGCACATCCACTTCTTGAGCTCCGCGCTTTTGAGAAGATATATGCGCAATAATGTGCGAACAGAAGTACACACATATATATATATATATATAGGGGCCTGCATGCGTCGGGCGGAGTGCAGAAGATTTCAAAAGCGGGAAACACAGAACAGGATGAGACCCACGAAATGTCACCCGTTCAGCCCCTAAACCCTAAACCCTAAACCCTAAACCCTAAACCCTAAACACTAGCCCTAAGCCCTAAACCCTAAACCCTAAACGCTAAACCCTCAACCCTAAACCCTAAACTGCTGCCTCCGGCAGTCTCAGGCCACCCGTACGCTTCTTCGCACCAGGGGATGCGGAGCATGCCCTGAACCCTACCTTGGGGACCAATTATGAACCTTAAAATTGGGGTCACCTACCCTTTGTTCCTATAACCGCTATTACAGTACATGAGCCATAAACCCTTTTAAGGGTTCATTCGGTCCCCAAGGTTGACTGTCAACAGCCTTAGCGTTCCTTACCCCTTAACGCTTCAGTCAAGCTCGCCGATACCCCCGTGGCCCAGTGGCAGGAAAATATCGCGAGGCCCACCGCCAGAAGAAGCTCCTGCGCAGCGCATCCTGCCCAGCGCGCTGGCAGCAACGGGATCACTGTCGAAAGTGCGGGCATTCGATGCATGTCGTCAGCGAGAGCTGCAGCCGGTTGCGATGCAGCACAGTACTAGTAGGACTTGTTACGGTGGATCGATAGCAAATGAAGTCTCAAAGATCCGGGGTTCACTAGACATAGTGCAGACACATTGCCCGTGTTTCGTAGAGGCGCGCGACGCATAAACCCCCCTGAAAAACTGTGGCACGGCTCTCATGGGCGGGCCTTCTCCCTTCACTCTTGTTGGGTTTAGGGCTTAGGTTTCGTAACATGAAGCCATCACCATCACATCTCACCCCCCCGCAACTCCATGATCAAGGTGATAACCACCAGAAGTGTGCAGGGTTGGTTGTGCTACTGTCGTCTACAAAAAGTGTGAAACTTATTTCCCTTGCTAAAATAGTAATATGGAGAAGAACCAACCAACTCAAGTGCCAAGTGGCAGTGATGCCCAACTTCCACAGGAGCCTGGGTAAAGACCATGCGACCGCAAAGGGTGAACCGAGGACATGTGGGGGTTTACGATGATAAGGAACCCCTCATATAGACCCCAAATAAGTAGTAGGATCCCCTGATCATAAGGACCCCAATAAGGTACCCCCCCCCCCCCCCCAACATCGTAAACCCCCATATTTTCAGTAGCCTACACGCAAGCATTTGAGCATGCTCGCGAGGATCATGTCCCTAGGGCACCTTGCGCTACTTTTGCGCCATGACAGCAAGCTGCATCCTGGGGTTGAGGCTTCTGCGGCACCTACAGCAACATAAGGAGCATGCCCAGGAGAAACCTGGGCATGACAAGGGTGCCCTTTTTGGTTTAAAGGGGCAGAGGAACCGAAAGCCCGAACAAAAGGGAATGTTGGGCCTACTCTTGGTCCTAGTGCCTGTTTCCAGTAGGTTGCACAGGCTTCTGCTCAAATGACGCCGGCCTCTTTGCAGGCAGGCTGCGAATATCCACCCTTCTCAGGACAGGGGTCCTGACGGTTTAGGGTTTAGGGTTTAGGGTTGGTCAGCTTTCTTCAGCTACGGCCACTACAAAAGTGCAATGTGCGGAAGGGTTGCGGGTTCTGAGTCTGAAGCCTTATGACGCGCCTGTCTTTTGACAGCCATGGTGTAGCTCTACGTGGCTCTCGGGTCTGCGATCCCCAAACCCAAGAACGGTCCACCAGCATCCAGCAGCCATAGGCCAGCAGAAGGGTTCGCAGAGTGCGGCTGCCGTACGTGAAAAGCGCCACCTCGGCTCAGTTTGCAAGGGTTTTGGGATTTTGCGCCCTAAGCTGTGACTAGGACAACCCAGAGAGCCCAACACCCCTTGATTAAGGAATATACCTCAGATCATATTCAGGATCCCTAGAAATTTTAAGGTACCTTCCTTGTTTAAGGGGTATTGGGCTCTTCGGGAAGCTCGCAGCACCAATAGTTGCAGCAAACCAGATGCGGTGCGGGGTCGGATGCTTGGTGCGCTATGCACTTCTGGGGGTCCAATCCTTTTTTTATCCCCGCTTGTCTAGGATTTACGTAAGAACCAAAAATTTAAAGATTAGAATCCCTGTATTGCAATGATAAGGAAGACTATTTCATTTTTTTTGGGCGGGTGTTCTTAAGCAATTGTAGTAGTTATCAAGAGGAGGCCACCCTAGTCAGGAGGGTCTATGGTGTAGGTCTGAGCTCGGAGGTTGAAGTTCCTTGGGCCCTGCAAGCTTAGGGGCAACTGCATCCCCAGCATCAAGGAACCCTGTTGTGACCCAAAAGCCCCAAAACCCGTTTTGCATCCAGGCCTATGAGACGGCCGGGCACTGCCTAAACCCAAAAAACCCTACACCCAGCCAAGTGCAAGCAGGGAGCTGTCGTGCTGAGGCATGCTGCGATGGAGTTCAGAGGAAACATGCAAAGAAACGTCGCGCAAATCACTGTGTCCATGGCGCCGGGGGGGGGGGGGGGGGGGGGGGGGGCCGGGCGGTTAAAGGACCCAACCCTGAGATCAATGTGTGTTTGCCAAAGTAGGGGTATCCCGAATCTACCCCAACATAGCTACTTGTTATGGAAACCCCCAAAAGAGGGGAACCCTTGTTTTCCGAAACCCTCATCTACGGTTTGATCAGAGGGCGGTCTTGGCCAAATATGGGTTCGGCTCAGCTCTGGGTGTTCAGCTCAAAAAATGTGCAGTGGAATTGAATGTGTGCGCATGATGCTCGGATGTCGGAAGTTGCGTGGTAGCGCGACAATGAAGCCCGCAGTTTTTGTCCATGATTCCATGGTATGAGCGGCTTGAGCCGGGAAGCTACGCCCAAAGTCTGATCCAGAATCCAACTTGCTCCGAGCAGTGCGTGCGCAGTAAAGAAATCTTCCGCAGCGGCTGGCATCTTTAAGATTTACATTCTTGGGAGCACTGCCAGAAAGGCAGTCGGGTACGCACGTGGAGTAATTAGGCATGGTGATTCAGAACGAAACATAGCAGCGGCGACTCTCTGCTTAGCGCCTGCAGTAGGAAGACGTTACAGTAGCCCCGAGATCAAGGTGACACCCACCCACGCTGACGGGAACCTCAGCCGCAAGCGCGCCCAGGAAGCCCTGCAGTCCTTGGTGAATTGGCACCTAGATTTTGTCTCCAGAGTTCCGACGGCCTGCTTCAGGAACCAGCATAGGGCCTCTCAGCCTCTCGAACTATCCTGTAGGAGACGTCATACAGGCGAAGAGCTGCGATCGAGCGAACTAGGTAAATTGAACGCTGCATACGTACAAACAATTTTTTGCACATGCATAAATAAATCTAAATATAAATATGAATAGAAATAGAAATAGAAATAGAAATAGAAATAGAAATAGAAATAGAAATAGAAATAGAAATAGAAATAGAAATAGAAATAGAAATAGAAATAGAAATAGAAATAAACAAATAAATATATATATATATATGTGTGTGTATGAGTGTGTATATATATATGTATATATCCATATACATATATATATAGATATATACATATATGTATATTATGTATATATCTATATATGCATATGTATATATATATATATATGTATGTATGTATGTATGTATGTACATCTATGCATATGTATGTGGCAAAGGTGGGTGGATTGGTGGATGTACTGCTTTCTACCGGGGACTGGTTGATGGGCTGAGGAGTCCTCAGCCCGGAACCTACCCCCCCGAGCTAACCCTCAACTTTAAACCCCAAAACCGGCTTCGGGTCTCGGGTTTCGGGTTTACGGTTTCGGGTTTCCCCAAAACCCCAAGCCCTAAACCAAAAAGCATCGTGCTGAGGGGCTTCGGGACGTTTAGGGCGAAGAGGGCTGCAAGTGGGTGTTAGGGTTTTCTGTTAGGGTCCCCTATATCCGAAACCCCCCCCCCCAAAAAAAAAAAAAGGACCCGAATGTAGAGCACTACCCTAAACCCTAAACCCAAGTAGCAAAGCAACCATCGAAAGGCCCAGCGTCGCTCCGAGGAAGGGCGTCCTTGGAGGGCTCTCGGGAGTCTCGGACGATGGCTCCGGGTCTAGTCGCTCACACTCTCACAAGGCAGGGTTTAGGGTTTAGGGTTTAGGGTTTAGGGTTTAGGGTTTAGGGTTTAGGGTTTAGGGTTTAGGGTTTAGGGTTTAGGGTTTAGGGCAGGCAAGGTCTGTTGGTCCAAATTTAGGGTTTATGGGAGAACTTTCTTGCGGTTTAGGGCAAGCATTTTGTGGGTCGGCAGGAGCTATGACTGGGTTGGACCAACACGAGGAACTCGGGCCTGAGGCAAGGCGAATAGACACGTGGGAGAGGTGTATCCCAGAGCTCCCATGATTTAGCCGCCTCATCCGCCCCAGAGCGGCCCAAGGCCAGACCCGACCATCACTTCCCAGAAGTCAATCACGAGCATCAGCTTCACCTTTCCAAAAGGCCGAGACGCGAATCATGAGAAAATATGTGGGCAGGGGCAGCTGATTCTTACAATGCACGTCGGCTTTCCGAGAAAGGGCAGCAGAAGGGGTGGCTGATATTGGCTGATGCTGATGATGCGTCAGTCGGGAAGGGGCAGTGATGCTCATGATGCCCAGCTGCCTGCCGAGACCAGGCAGCTGACGGCGCAGCTGATTTCCAAGCGGCCGACGCGCATATGAGCATCTCAGCTGCGGCTTCTGAGACAGTAGCCACAAGCATCACAACCCCAAACTACCCGACATAAACCCAACGAATGAGGTTTGGAGTCCTGAGACCTGCTTGAGGAGCAAAAGCCCGGACACCAAAATTGCAAATCCAGACATACCACAGCCCGCAGCAAGCTATTGATCTCCGTGCCCATATAATGCCTCATGCCCTCCACAGATTTGGGGGTTTTCGAAAGTAAAGGACCCTTCAATATAGACCCCCAAATAGTAAGATTCTCTTAGAAGAAGGACCCCAATAAGGTACCCCTAAACCCTAAACCCTCAACCCCCCAGAAACCCCCTTTTGCAATCAATTCCAAGATCCCGGCTTGGCTCGGCCGGGGCCTGCTCAATGCCCAACGCCTCGTGGCTTCCAAGCATGAAAGAGTGGGTTTAGGGTTTTTTTTTTGCCACCCGCTTAGCTGACCAAAGGTGTGGTTTAGGGTTTTTTTTTTGCCACCCGCCTAGCTGACACTCAGGCCACGTTGCAGGGACTAATACCGGCCATACTGTTCATTCAAGTTCGAGGGCGCTTTTAAAGTTAGCGTAAAAAGGGACCATGTGGGGGAGAACGGAGTACTGAGTATCCCAAGTGCTCAAACAAAGAAATACACAAACCCAAAAACCAAAGAACCCCCAGAACTCCATCCCCCATGGTCTTGGAGGAGAAAGGTTTTGACGCCACCTCAAATGCGGCAGCGTGCATCAGACCCGTGCAGTTGGCCCCCGGGAAATTCTCGCGCCCGAATACCAAGGCTTGTAAGGCAGGTGCGGTTTCCCGAGGGTGTCATTCATGGCTCGCACTGTGCTCCGCAGCACCACCGGCAGGCATGCCGGCTTCAAGCACAGCAGGGCTTCCAGTTGAAGTTCATCTTCAGCTGCAATCATCGCGCGCTGCCAGCATTCGACGACAAAGCTCGTACAAATCTTTGGCTCCCTCCAAATGGTGGAGGGAACAATGCTTGCAGACTCCGTGCAGCAGCATGCAAAGCGACACCATGCCATCACTGCAGCAGAGTGTTCCCAATGAGAATCACGCATGGAGCAGAGCACCTGCTCCATCGTAGCCGGAAACAGAAAAGGGGCATGCCAAATCTCGCACTCGTAGACGTTGTCATCATGCGGAAACATCAGCGTGTCACCTACGAAGTGCCCCACCCGCCGCAGGCTGCAGTCCAGAATGGTCCAAGCGCTGAAGTTGCCCTGCTCCTCGGATGAAATCTCGAGGGTCGGGATGAAAGCCACCATGCCCCACAACTCCTCGCCCAAGTCGCGGCCATCCATGTAGAAAGGCTCGCCAGAAACTAGCATCACGTGATTGAAGAAGTGGTTGAGAACGCAGATAATATCACCGCAGCTAACCTTCACGGGCATGGCGAACACAAACCAAAGCTAAGCAAAGCCAAACCAATGTGCTGTAGAACCAGATTGCTTGAGCCAAAATGGCTACGTTGTTTAGGGTTTAGGGTTTAGGGTTTAGGGTTTAGGGTTGGGTGTAGGGTGTAGGGTTTAGGGTTTGGGGTTTGGGGTTTGGGGTTTGGGGTTTAGGGTTTAGGGTTTAGGGTTTAGGGCTTTTTGCCACTTGCCTAGCAGCCTCGCAACCACAGGGTTTAGGGTTTAGGGTGGTTTCGACGCTCACTCTCGCACAAGGCTGGCAAGGTCTTAAGGCCACTGGTCGGCAATTTAGAGATTCAGGCTCAGCTCAAACATAGGCCCGACATGCCCACCCACCGAGCATAAATCAAAACTAACAACAAAACCCAATCAGCTGCCTGGAATACTATGCAGTCGACGCCGTTTTTCTACCGAGGAGAAACCCCTCCCAAATCTCCAGCACTAAGACCCCCTCCCTCCACCATACAAAGGAGTAATTCAAGGTTTCGGGAGCATTGGCTCTTTGTGAGAAATACTTGCACACGGCCAACCTCCCAAAATCACAGTAAAGGTCTTTGGCAGGCTTCATTTGCTCAATCGGTCCCAACAGGATGATAAGACTCCCAAAGAAGAGCCAAATTTAGAGAACTGCCCAACTAAAGGGGGCAGCCCACACGCTGCGCCTGGCTGTGGACGCCACTGCATAGGAGCACTACCTGAGGGAGGATGCTGGCTAGTGGCTCCCCTTTTGGCGACCGCCTAGTAATTAAACCCCAGTATCCCTAAAGCTGCAGAACTCTCAGCTTTTAAGCTATGCTGCCCTTAAAACCTTAAAAACCTTAGCATAATTCATCATTAGTTATTATAAGAATCGATAAGGGCACGGTAGCAAGGGCGGCATTCCCGTGCGAAGCTGCGGGTCCGAGGGATGGTTGGGGGTTTCGTCGCACACCGCAGACAAGGCAAGGCTTCTGAGATTAGGCACATAGTCCAAAGTGAACTCGAAAAACTCGACCCCGCACCCAAATAACGATACGAGTTTAATCTCCCGTAATGTTGACTTCACATTAATGATTCCCGCTACAATTGTAAAATCCAGCTGCCGGAACACAATATTGTAACCCGCCACAATTGTAAAATCCAGCCCGGAATATTTTTCTAAAAGTGATCCCCCAGAGGCTCGCAGTAGAGGCTCACTTAGCCCACTGTGGTGGCACCGGGACAGCTAGACCTACCAGGATTTAGGCGAACATTATTGAGGAGGCCCTGGCCGGAGAGATTGATCAATGAAGGGGGGGGGGGGGTTTATTAATGCGAAGTCAACATTACAAACAAAACAACACAATCGAGCTCACAAACAACAAGATTGAGTAACTATAGACTGTCAAATCGCCGAGGTTTTAGTTCCAGCGAATTCCGAAACTCCAAAGGCCAATCCCGTCGTGGAGTTTACGGTTCGGGTGCCGAAAAAGACGGATCTGCCGCAGACAAGTGGTAAATCCTACAACCCAGCTACGCCCTCCTTCTCCAGGCGTCCCGGCATCCAGCCCGTAAGCACGGGCACCTCTCACATCGTGCCAGACCTAGTGGCATCGTGCTGAAGGCTGACACTGAGGCAGACATCTGGCTATACTCCCCTTAGAACCATAATAGAAATAATATATTTAATATCCTCTTGGGTTTTATATAAACAAAAATACAAAATAATATTCCATAATATTCCCAAAGGGGATATAGCTAGACCCATCAGAAACCCTGGTGCCCCCTGTTTGTTGCGCTGGCGTTCAACAGAGCTGAAGGCAGCCGCCGGTGCGTTTGCGGCCCTGCTTGCGGGCTTCTGGAGCTGCAGCGCCTCTTCACAGAACGTCTTGGACTCCGGCCGAATCACCGACCATGCAAATTCGGGCGCTCGCCGGAACGCCTTCCTGCATGCTCCGAGAAGTTCTGCCAAGGACGGTGAGGCACTAGGATATCATTCCTATCTCGCCTTGCTCCAAGCAGGACTTCTGAACCCCAACCTTACCGGGCTACCGAAAAAGCTCGGATCCGGGAGCTCGGCATCCCCCCGGGCCTCTTGAAGCCTTTGCAGCGCCAGGTCAAACACTGCCGGGTAGGGCCTCACAACGCGTTTTGTCGAACCACGAACCCTCAACTGAAGGCTTGCGGAATGTCGGTTAGAAAGCTTGCAGCAATCCCCCCGCCCCCCCATGCTAAGCCTCACCCGGCACACCCGTGGCCCCAGGTCATGTCTCACGTCTGCCTGCTCATGCTGTGGCTTGCTGATCCAGACTGCTATAGGCTGTTTCAACAGCAGGTGGGGTCCCCGGTCCGCTCACGCCCTTTCTCAGGAAAACTACATCACGCTTCATGCTGCTCTGCTTTGCCAAAGTCCCTGATTCCAAATCTGCCCCTGCAAAGGCCGGACACCATACGCATAAATCCCAGGCGATATGCTAGTCTAGCTGCCTAGCTAGTCATGCATTCAACGGCAGCAACTGTCGAGCGCCAGACTTTCCGACGAAAAAGGCGTCCGGCCTCGGTGCAAAAACAAATGTCGAGAAACTGCGGGCGCCCGCAAGCTGCCCACTAGCAATCCAAAATAAAGGCTTGATTGCTTGACAGGTATACAGATTGCTAAAAGCAAGTACTCGGATTGCAGCCTGCCCGGGCCATAAACCCTAAACCCTAAACCCTAAACCCTAAACCCTAAACCCCTAAACCCTAAACCCCAAACACCCTAAACACCCTAAACCCTAAACCTAGCCTCATAAACGCGATTGTCGCGCAAGTCTGGGCACCGGGACCCCCCCAGCTCCTTGTAGCGGCGAGCGAGCCTGGCATGGCTGGTTTTGGGACTCGTGGCGAGAGCGCAAAGCCACGGCTTAGGGTTTAGGGTTTAGGGTTTAGGGTTTAGGGTTTAGGGTTTAGGGTTTAGGGCTTATAATGGCTGAGACTCAGGGGTGCTGGGCAAGAGCGAAATGTCCTGAATGTCCTTAGGGGAGAACGATCTTCACTCCCGATGAAGGAAGATCAAGCGCCCCTGTTGCAGCAGGCTTGTTCAGTGAACAAGGCATCATCCAATCCTCTACTTGGAGGTTCATGGGTAGTTATCAGTAAGTTATCTATGCATATATGGCAATTATGCTTAGAACCCCACTTAAATGTACTTACTTACCCCACGTGTAGCTACCCATGAACCCCCAAGTAACTCCTTACGCCTTGCACCAGACAGAGTCCGCCTTCCAGGCATGGGGCTCGCCACACCGTCAGGGCGCACGACGTCGGGGTTGGCCACCTCTGAACACCCCTTGTATCCCTAAGGCCCTACTTGGAGGTTCAAGGCACTTATTAACCACTTACAACTGTATCATAACCCACTTATAAGCCCCTTAAGGCCCTTGAGTGTTATAAGTAAAGTAGGTTTCCCATAGCTGGAGCTTGCCGCCAGTACAGGCTCCCCCCACTGGACATCGGAACTTCCCGACGTGTGCTTGGTTGCTGGCCAGCATTGGGACCTGGCTGCTAGACAGGCTGACGTGGGCTTAAGCTGGCTGGCTGCTTCTTTGAGGGAATGGGTACCTGTTTCATCCCTTAAAAGGGTATACATAGGGCCCTAATTCCCTCATTTCCTACTCAGAACGAGGGGCAAGGGTCAGGCATGCGGATTCAGATGCCATGAGAGCTTCTGGCATGAGCAAATGAGAGAGCCATGTGGAGCCGCTAAGCTCGCCTTTAACATGTGGGGGGGTTCCCAAAACTAGGGGTACCTTCTTGGGGTCCTTATTATATGGAGATCCTACTATTTGGGGGTCTATACTATGTCGTGAAGCCCCATGTGTGCTCTTTCGGTCAGCCACCTGAGCTGCAGTGAGCTAACCAGGCAAGCACAGAAGCCATGAGGCACGTATGACTGCAGCTGGAAGCAATGCCTACTTGGAGGTTCATGGTACTTACTAACCAATTACAACTGTACTTTGAACCCACTTATAAGCCCCTTAAGTGCCGTTATAATGGGGTTATATTAGGGTTATAAGCACAGTTAGTATTGGGTTGTACCCTGAACCTCCAAGTGTGCCAACCGGAGGGAGTCCCTTGTTGCATATTCTGAATTCACCGAGCTGTGCAACCCAACAGCTCATTGTTCTGCGAAACTTGCGATCTCCATGCCAAAGATTATGAGTATACGGGCTCTTCAGGTAAGTACCCCAATGTTCCCTCATACTCCTCTTAGTGCGCCCCAAGGCTCCAAAAGCTTACCTTACCCAGCCCTTAAGCACCTTATGGAAAGAATGCAAAAACAACAAAAACAACATCAAAAACATCAAACAGCAAAACCCTAAACCTCAAACCCTACAGCCCTGACTCGACTGCGGAGCTCACCTTTCGAGCTGCTGCCGCCTTCAGCGGCGCGTCAAAGTCCTGCAGGAGCACAGGAAATTTGAGCTCGAAACAAACTCTGAGTCAGTGTGCTAGTCAGTGTGCTGACTTGCAGACCACGACGCGAATTTTTTCCTTTTGTTACGAGGCGATTGGTGGAGCACAGGCTTCTCTTGCCAAGTGCCCTAAACCCTAAACCCTAAACCCTAGGTTCTTGCAAGAAACAACAAACAGCCTGAGCATGAGCGGCCACGAGCTTACGGGTCGAGATGGCTTTGCGGCGATTTCGAGGTCCGAGCAAGCTTCATATAAAATGTAAAACAACAGAAACACTAAGAACAGGAACGCGAACAATATAACATTTTGAAAACATGCAAGGTTAGAATGAATGTAGAGCGTCCTCCATCTGGCAGGCTCGCGCCTGACCGTGGAAACTGCAGGATTTTTCAGTTCTGTGTAATTAGGTAAAGTGGCTCAATGGTTCGCAGAGCTCAGCAAACTGCAGGTCCTCTTTCTGTGGGCCGGGCCGTCTCGGGCATCGTTGATACATGCGTTTTGTGTCAACTACGTCAATTCAATTCACCGCTCCCTACGTCCACACATTCTGCCTGGTGCTGCTTACTGACTTCAAGGGAGTTCGAGGCTCTCCAAGGCAACGCAGTCCTCAAAGGCATGTGGCCCGATGCTGGTCACAGACCCGGCAATTTCCACATGTTGCAAAACACTGCATTTCCTGAAGGCATTGTCTCCGATGCTGATGATGGAGTTGGGGATCTTGATGCTTTCCAAAGCAATGCACTCTTCAAAAGCTCCCTGGCCGATTCTGGCCTCTGATGCGACAATCCTGGAGGTCATTCGCTCCGCAGCGAACTCCACGTGTTTCAACGCACTACACATCCTAAAGGCGCTGTCCCCAATGTTGACGCTGAAGCTTGGGATCCTAATGCTCTCCAAAGCAAGGCATCCCTCAAAGGCCTTCTTCCCAATGCTGACCACTGGCTCGCCAATCTCCACACGTTTCAGGGAACTGCATCTCCTGAAGGCAGAGTCCGTGATGTTGACCACGGAGTTCGGAATCCGGACGCTCTCCAAGGCAATACAGCCTGCAAAGGCATCCCACCCAATCACGGCGAGCGAACGGGAAGTGCTGATGATGTCGACGCTCTCCAAAGCAACGCACTCTTTGAATGCAAACGGCCCAAGGGTCACCGACCCATCAATCGCCACATGCTTCAAGGAACTGCACTTCGCGAAGGCTGAGTGCCCGACGTCGATGATGGAGTTGGGAATCTTGATGCTTTCCAGCCCGCTACAGCCCGCAAAGGCACCATACTCAATACTGAGGCTGCAGCCGGGGCAGCCCACGAACTCGATGCCCTCCAAAGAAACGCAGTCCTCAAAGGCACGTGGCCCAATGCTGGTCACAGACTCGGCAACCTCCACACGTTTCAAAGAACTGCATTTCCTGAAGGCACCGTCCCCGATGCTGACTACGGAAGTGGGAATGCCGAGGCCTTTCAGAGCAATGCATCCCTCAAAGGCACTCTTCCCAATGCTCACCACTGACTCGCCCATCTCCACACGTTTCAGGGAACTGCATTGCATGAAGGCAAAGTCCATGATATGGACGACGGAGTTCGGAATCGTGACACTCTCCAACGCGAGGCAGTCTGCGAATGCATTGCAGCCAATCTTGGTGACCGAACTCGGGATCTCTACTCCCAGTAGGGCATGACTGCCGTGAAACGCAGACTCACCCTCGGTTGTCCCCTGAGGGATTTCCACGAACACCAACTCCCCACCTGCGCCCTTCGGCCAGGCCGATACTTCAATGACGTTCCTGAATCGGACCAAGGTGAAGACCTGAGGAGACCAGACTTTGCTGCTGGGCTCCAGAACCTCCGCGGATTCCGTGGCCAAACTTGAGCGGTAACCGGCCGGCATCCTCAGCGCCTCCTGGTCCAAAATCTGGGCTACGGTGGTGCCAGGATCTACCTCAATGTCTCTGCGCGATCCGTCGGGACCTCGAACGCTGACGGTGATCGGCGCATTCCCCATGGCGGCGGCCGACAACGGCGCAGGCCCCAAGCTAGACAACAGGCTCCGGAATCAGTCAGCCCTTCAACCTGCGCTGTATCTGACACAGGGTCATGTTTAAGTAGACTTGGTGTTTTGAACTAAGTTTGGGTTATAAACCTATGGTTTAGAATAGATCGGCTCCTGCACTATAGGTCCTCAGGGCCCCTCATCCCTAGCCTCCATATCCGAGAGCCTGCGTCTTTAGATCTTGTTGCGCTAAGCTTCAGATCCGCTCGAGAGGCTGCAATCGCAGATGTGAGCGCATCTACGCTCCCCCAAAGTATAGTTTTAAGGTTTAGGGTCCAGCGCGCGTTTCCCCTTTTTTGATATTGGGTTGGGTACCCAAAATATGGTCTAATCCCCTGTAGAAAGTACCCCCCAAAAAGGGGGCCCCTAATTTTAGCGACCCTTCTCTTCTTGGCATTGTCTGTTGCTTCTGGTTCTGTTTGCCGCTGCCAGGCTATTGTTGCTGCTATCATTCGAACCCTGATTCCTACAGTTGCTGCTGCTTCTGGCAATGGTTGTGGCAGTAGAAGAAATCGCGGTAGAAGTAGTGTCCCCGAACCCGAAGCATCAAGTACGTTGGCAATCGCTCTTGAAAGGAGATCTTAACTTGGTAGTACCGCATACTAATTGAAAACCAGCACATCATGAAATCCATGCTCTGGGAGCGTGAAACACTTAGGACAAGATAGTCAAGAACATGGCAAATCTCAGAATGCAGGTACTTGTGTAATGAGTCTATAGTTGACGACAAGAATGATCCACTGACCTCATCGGCCTGCATTTGGCAGTCTGCCAGAGGACCGGAATACCCGAAAGACCCCATGTAGCGGCACTCTGTATAAGAGAGGGGTCGGAAAAGTCGACTTTTCACCATCTCCACTTCAAAAAAACCAAGAACCTGAAACCTTGGTAGTCCAGTACCCATATTCTGTTAAGAGCACAACTCTTTTTGGGGTTGGTTACTTTAGAAGGGAACCTTGAACCCAAAAATGGGCAAAAGGGTCAGCCAGCCGGGTTACTTAAACCCTAAAGCCCTAGCCTGCGTGATGAGACTGCTGAGGATGGATTCCAAGCTAACCTAGGTATGATCCCCATGAACCCAACAAGGGAAAATATGAAGCGTCCCAAGAACCTTCCTAGTGCAGTGCATGCTGGCCTTTCAGGGCAGGTAGTGGTTAAGTATGAAGGCTGCGAAAGGATTGTCCCTCGTGGGGTCCTGGTTGATTTTAAAAATATTTTTGGGGAAGGGTCTAGGGCTTTCAATTTGTTTGAGAACTCAAGCCAGGATCCCTTCATGGTTTGCATTGCAGGTTGGAGTACTTTGCATGCATGTGAAGAACAGCCATGATGCCAAGCGGCGCGCGCCTCCGCACCATCGCAAAGCGCAAAGCAGCCCCGGGCCAGTAGCAGTTCTGCCTCCCTACACCCTAGACGCTAAACCCCAAATCCCAAAACCCTAAACCCGGGTAATGTCTACGGGAAGCTCTTGGGGGGTGCGGCAAGTTAGGTGTTCGGGCGCCTCTCTGCACTTTGAGGTCTATTCGTGTTCATATGCGCAAACCTAAAAGTGCCCACAAACACGGATAGGAAGTAGGGTGTAGGGTTTAGGTAGAAGGGGCTTCTTGCGAGTAGCCTCAAAAAGAATACACGATGCGGGTTTCCGGCCGCTGTAGCCGCTATACCCCTCCCCACAGACTTGTATCCGAGCCCCCCCCCCCCCCCCCTGTGCCCACAGCCGAAAGGGGCGAAGAGAAGAAAACCTAAACCGTATACCCTAGACTCAAACCGAAACCCGAACCCATGTACAGCCCTGGATCACATGTACTACACGCCCACCAACATTTTAAGGAACCCGAAATTTTCTCGGTTCCCCTCATTCCCTACTAAAACCCAGTAGGTTAAGCTCCTTTCTTGTCCCACCTCGCCTCCTCGGCGTCAGCCTCGGTAGTGGCTTCAAGGTTCCGGGTTCAGGGTTTAGGGTTTAGGATGAACAGCTGCAAAACTATGCTATGCGTAGCTATGTGTGGTAGGTGCCCTGCTTGAACTCGCTGCGGCAAGAATCCTTCTAGGTACCTGCACTCCACTGCAGGAACCGGCGTTCCAATGCATCTGTCTACAGCTCAAACAATGTCTCGCGCGCCGCAATCCACCCCACTCAAGGCCAGTGGTTTATATCTATCTTACACCCATGCATGGCCTACCTCAGACGTAACCCGTCCTGTTCGCGCCAGCGCCCTGAAATCTAGAAGCCTCGGCACCCTGTAGACTCGAAACCGCCAGCAGGTGCACTTTGCATCGTCTTCTCCGTTGCCGAAGGTGAGGATGGACTGGCGAACCCGCGAGACTTTACGGCATTAAGGTCGTGAACAAAGAGGAACAAAGCCGCCTTGGCGTCGCAGACAGCCGGCGGGATCTCCAGCGCCTGTCTACTCAGCGCAGCATCATCGTTTGGGACAGGAAGCCTCTTTACACTCAAAAGGGCCTCTGCAATAGAAGCCAAGAGGCTCGTAACTTCGTCTCTGAACTGCGGTCGCATTTGAGGTTCCGAAATATTTCCGGAGCCTGTTGGGGGCATTACGGGACCATGCGATGGAGAACTGCCCAAGCAGCAAGTCCAATCAACGGGAACCTCGTGAAGACCACAACCTTCCGGACGAACAACCCTGTATGCGAATCCTTAGACTGCCTGCCCACTCGCACAAGTCTTGTTGCAAAGCACAGATTCGAAGTGAGCTCGAAACTCAATCGTCCCTCCCAACAAAAAAGAAATAGCCGGAACTGCAGCTTGCAACCACCTGCTAACCCAGAAGCATATGATCGTCTAACTAGGAGTCGTCTCCTCTGAGACTTGTAAGAGCCCAGAAGATCTGTGCAAGGCTTGCGCTTCCGGCCTTGCGTGGTGCACCATGCAGCTTAGCAAAGGACTGAGCTTACCGCGGTAGACCTCAGCTTCAACTACCTGCGACCATCTGGACCCTAAACCCTAAACCCTAAACCCTAAACCCTAACAATCACCTGATCATCTCGGGCTGCTGCCCCTGCTTCTGGAGCACCTGGAGGACTCAGATTCGGGGATCGTTCAGCACTGTTGCGAAGGGCCATCTAGGACGGATGGGGGCTTTAGGGTGTAGGGTTTAGGGATTTCGGGAACACGGAATGTAGGATTCGAAAAAATGGCAGAACGAAGAGGGAACTGGAGGCTTTCCCCGCGAGGGCTTGGACCGGGTTTTTCAAAGGTTGCGAGAATCCTCCCCGCCGCAAAGCCACATAGCCCTGAACCCTAAACCCTAAACCCTAAACCCTAAACCCTAAACCCTAAACCCTAAACCCTAAACCCTAGACGGCTAGCTGAAGCCTTTCGCCGCAAGCCTCACAGAGCCCCAAAAAAAGGCTGTTTCAAGGTCCAAGCCTGAACCCTAACTAAACCCTAAACCCTAAACCCTAAACCCTAAACCCCAATAGGGTTTACGGAAAGGGACTAATTGCTTGGCGGTTTTCGACTCAAAAGGTCGTGGGTTCCACGGTCATCTGGCTGCAGATGTCCGGCTTGGGCCCGGGGATCTTCTGAACTGCCCAGGCTTCTGGGTGCTGAGGGCTGCGCTTCGTTTGAGCGTTTCACCGCCTAACCCGCCCTTCACGGTTTAGGGTTTAGGGTTTAGGGTTTAGGGTTTAGGGCTTAGGGTCATAGATAAACAGCACCTTTATAGCCCTAGCCATAAACCCCGAAAAAGGAAGGGCCTGCCAGGATCTGCCAACTGACCTCACCGCTGGTGATGAGGTCCACGTAGAGCTCCGAGCCTGCGGGGGAGCTTTGGACCCAAAGCTTCAGAACTTCGACTATGTGCTTAAGACCCCCCAAAACATGAAAAAATAATATTCCCTATCTTACCCTTAGAAGCAAGAATGTTTTATTTATTTATTGTTTTTTTTTGGGGGGGGGCGTGCTTAATCCATTCCCCCTAATATTAATACCCCCCTAATATAAAAATCCCCCCGGCCCCAAATACCGATCCCGGGTCCGTCCCTATTAAAACCTGTACAGAGTTAGGGCGGGATTAGGGGGGGTGGAGGCCCTGAACCCTAAACCCTAAACCTAAACCCGAAAACCCTGGACCCTAAACCTAACTAAACCCTAACCCTGACCCCTCTCAAAAGGCTGCAAGGCTCTGACTGTTTTTGCCGGACTGTCTGTTCCGTGCTTGTCTGCCTGGCTTTCAGTCAGACCTGCTCTGGGCGGCCTGACTGGCAGCCTTGTCTGAACAGCTAAGGGGTTTATGGTTTATGGTTTATGGTTTAGGGTTTAGGGTTTAGGGTTTACAGTTTAGGGTTCAAGGGTTCAATTAGGGTTTAGGGTTTTAGGGTCAGGAGTAAAAGGGTCTATTTGGGGCTTCAGACTAAAGGGTTCTACTGGCTGTAAAACAAGTGCCCTTTTGGGTCTGTCTGTCTGCTGGTGGCCGGCTCTTGTTCCTTGCAGGGCTACGACAGGTCTGAGGACATCCATTAGGGGGCTGACTATTTAGGTAAGGAACTCGAGCCGGCCACTAGCTGACTGTCTGTCCTGGGGGCTGAAAAACGTGCCTTAAAGGCATGTCTGCCTGTGACCGGCTGTCACTGGCTGACTGACTGCCTGACTATGTCAGGGCCTGAAGCACAGCAACAACCATGAAAACGGGGGCCCGGCCTGCCTCAAGCGAGCCCCCCAGTCTGTCACCCTCACGGCCAGTCTGTCTGGCCTGCTTCCGTCTGCCTGGCAGAGGGCATCCTAAACCCTAAACCCTGAGTCCGGAACCCTAAACCCTGAGAAACTCTAAGGGGTTTGGGCTGGTTGCAGTAGGCTGGCTGCGACCTCACTGCTGGGCTGATGTGAGGTTTCTTGCGAGGCTGCGAACTCTGTCTTGCTGAAGGCTGCGAGCTGTCTGCAAGACTCTCTCTCTCGAGATCGGGCACCTCTCTCTTGCGAGGCTGCGAACTCTGTGTTTGCGAAGGCTGCGAGCTCTCTGCAGGACTCTCTCTCTCCAAGTCTGCCACCTCTGTGCCTTGTGCCCCCAGCCTGGCAGCAAGCTCTCTTCTTGTGACCAGAGCTGTCAGCAACTCGGTCTGCTTCACCAAGGCCTCGACGAGGGCGTCCTGGCTGCTTTCGGGCTAATTAATTAGGTTGCCTCTGACTCAGACAGTGTGAGCCTCGTTGTCTGCAACCTCGGTCTGGTCGCTGGCCATGCTGCACACAGCCTCTCAATGCGGCTGGTCTTCTGCTTGAACTGTCATTCACTTAATTAAACACGTCTGATCTCTCTCTGGCCTGGGTCTGCAGACCGGCTGGGTCAGGCTTAAGCCCAGGCTTGGCTGCTGAGCCAGCATGCTACAATAAGGACGGGCTGGTTTCGCGGACAAACGATAAGAACCCCCCCTAATACTAAAAACCCTTCGGGGGTTTTTATACAAGGGGGGGGGGGCCTTTTATATTAGGGGGAACGGATTAAGCAATTGGTAGAATTCGGGGGGTTTCCGCGAAGCTTGAGCGTGTTTTGAGGCTCCTCTACTCATTGCTCCTTAAAGGCGAGATATCACTCTATGGGTTCACAGGAAGTGGTGCGCCCTGAAATCATGCAGCCTGGACACGCCCCGAAACTGAGCAAACACAGCAGTCAACTGAGGGTACAAAACGCCCCCCCCCCCCCCCCATGCTCGCAACAATCCGCAGTGAGATCACTCCCTAGGCATTCGGCATTCGTGAACACTTAACAAGAAATCTCTTAAATCTGCGTGGCTTTTTGTGGGGGATTAGGCACCCTATATCATTCCCAAAATGCTTATGTACACACACACACACACATATATATATATATACAAATATGGAGGGGAGATATGGTACCTATTTCCTTCACTTCCTTCTAAGAAGAACCAGGAAGAAAACCCAGCAAGTGGCATGGCTGGGCCCTGCGGACCCGGCCTATGCCCAAGCGCTGCAAAGCAGCACTGTTCGTCCTCGGAGTCCGTTTGGGGCCTGGGGTTTCGTGTTTGTGGGTTTAGGGAGGGTTTTAGAGTTTAGGGTCCAACAGTTTGTGGCCTAAGAACCAGTCTACATACCCCAAACCCACACCCCTTAACCTATAACAGGAGAATATAAGGAAGGATTTGCCCAAGGATTATGTTGAAGATTTCTTAGAGCCCAGGGTGTTTTCGAGTTTGTGGTAAAGAAAGTACGTGTTGCTTCTGGCTTCTGAAGTCTTCTGGCTGGTTCTTAGTAGGGAATGAGGGCCCTATATATACCCTTTAGGGGATTATATAGGGCCCTCATTCCCCTAAACCCTAAACCCTAAACCCTTGGGCCTTAAGTGCTTGGGCACCTCTTCTCGCACGCTTTGACGTCGCCCGGCTCCCAAACCCTGAGGCCCGAAAGCCGGCACGAAACCCTGAATATGGTTTAGGGTTTAGGGTTTAGGGTTTTTTTTTTCCCTCCTGCACAGCTGGTTTAGGGTTTAGGGTTTAGGGTTGAGGGTTTAGGGTTTAGGGTTTCGGGTAGCCCTAAACCCTCAATCTGGGATCCACGGCTCTCTTCGGCGAGATGAGTTCGAAAGGAACAGCACCGGCTTCCTAGCAGCTGGGCTCGGCTCCCACAAGTTTGGCATGGTAGAGAGGGGCCTAGATTATCGAATGCGTTGTTTTTTTTTTTTTGGGGGGGGGGGGGGTAGGCTTTTTTCGCTCAGGGTTTGTCAGGTTAGATTCTGGGTTGGATTGTAAAAAGTCGGCAAACATGGGGGGGGGGGGGGGGCGTTGGATCATAATCACAGGAGACGTAGATTGGAGGAGGATCACATTGGCAATTCATATCGACTCATTCATTTCTGTTTATCTCAGTCTTCGAGCCCTGTAAAATCAATCAGGACCCTAAACCCTAAATCCTGAAAGGCAGCTGCTCTCTCGGGTGCAAAGCTACGGACTTTAATCCGAAGGCTTCACGTTCTAGAAACCCGGCCCTGAGCCTCACAACTCCAACCCGAGCTATTCTTATCCGCCAGGACCCTGAAACCCCCTCCTCCCTGAGCCCATTGAATCCATTGAACCCGGTACCCCAAAAAATCCTGGTTCATGGGTAGTTATAAGTAGGGTTCGAAGTATGGAAATTGTACTTACGACCCCACTTAGGACAATTATAACCCTACTTGCAAGTACCCATGGGCCTCCAAGTGAGCTCAACAGAGGCCCTGGCTTCAGCTCCCTGAGCTCGCGCAGCGTCTCTGCGGCCCAGGGGAAGGCGACTTTGCCATTGTGCACGACGCCCCACCTCGCTTTGCAGTTGCAGGCCCCTAAACCCTAAACCCTAAACCCTAAACCCTAAACCCTAAACCCTAAACCCTAAACCCTAAACCCGAAACCCTAAACCTAGCCTCGCCCGTGACACTTTGTGACCCATATGATGTTTTAGCATTCAGCTCTGACAAGGAGCATTTCCCAAACTGGGGGTGCCCCTCATAGACCCCAAAATACTATCAAATCTTTTGGTAGATATAGGAACCCCCAAAACGGTTTCCCCTATTTTCGGCAACCCCCGTGTGGGGCTTACGAAAATAGGGGAACCCCAATATAGATCCCCTAATAGTAGTAGGATCCCCTTATTATATGGACCCCAAGAAGGTACCCCTATTCTCGGAAGCCCCCCCATATCGACTTACCGAAGAAGATGCCTTGGGATGCCTCGGCTGCTTGTGCGACGGTGGCGTACGCCAGCCATATGGTGGTTTCCGAAATTAGAGCTACCTTATTGGGGGTCCTTATTAAGGGAACCCTACTAATTGGGGGGGTCTATTTTAGGGGGTCCCCTCTTTTTCGTAAACCCCCTTATCAGCAGTCTCTGAGGCAGTCCGAGCTTGCGGCAGGTCGAAAATGAAGGCCTCGGCAATACGGCCCGTGCACATTTTTGGCGATGATTCTGGGCTGACCAAGTGCTCCAGTCACGTCAGCCGCACGACCTGTTACTGTTGTGTGTCACCCTTTGCTTAGGACCTTCAACACCTGGGGGATGTTTTGTGGAATTCCCGAAAGCCAAAACATTTCGACCTTTTGACTCGTTCGGGCCACTGCCGAAGCTGCCGGGGCAGCAACGTTCGGAACTTCGCTGTATGACAACCACGAAAGACGGTCTCACTTCCACGGGGACTCAAGGCTATACTCCCCTTGGAACCTTAATAAACATAATATTTTTTGAGATCCTCTTGGGTTTTATCTAAACAAAAATAAAAAATAATTCCCAAGGGGGATATAGAAGGATAGATGCCAGAGGAAACTGGGTGCCGAACATCGTAGCTGTCAACCTGGGCACCATACGACTCAAGACGGGCAGCCTGACTAGCAAACAGCATGCGCAATCTCGGACAACCCTCGATGTAGACATTCGCAATGTGTAGGTTGCATGGCATACTCACGGCCTGCAAAGGAAGAAATCTATCGCAAACTGTGCCGCGCATGTCAGGCAAGCTCAAACCTACGGGCAAATCTCACCGACCTGTGTCCAAAACGAGGCTGGTCGTCCATCTGACTCCGACAAAACTTAGCCAACAGCCAGGGCACCACCTCTTTCAAACCGCCGATCCACTTGACGCCATTCGGCAGTCCTGGCGGGGGTCTTTGATGTCTTGGAGCAGTCTCTACAAGATTCCCGGGAAGGCTGTGCAGACAAGGTGCAGACAAGGTGAATACATAACGCAGTTGATGCATTCATTTATGTTGACATGCGCATGTTGCTTGCAGTCCGACAGAGTCAACAACAACCAAGCTCAGGCTCAACCCACATACGAACTGAACAGCATCCATGATTTTGCTGCAAGTCGGCACCTGACTGAAAATGGCCTTTTACCAGGGCTCTCTGACGTGCCTGACCTGACAAGAGGCCTTTGCAGCAAGCTTTGGTGAAAGCGTAAACCTCAACCCTAGAAACACTCAACTGAAAACCCAACACATCCTATCTCCTCTCCTCGCATTGCTGTCCGCCCGCTCCAAGGGCTTCGCCGACGCCGCGCGGCTGTCCTTGAGGCTTTTGCTTCAGGACTTGCAAGGGTTCCCGGAGAGCCCATGAAGGAATCTACCTTTTTTTAAATAGGGATCCTGAATATGGTTTCGGTTTCAGGATGTTTCAGGAATATTCCATGTTTAAGGGGGGTGTTGGGCTCTTCGGGGTTCTAGTGTAACAGTACTTCCTCTAGACTCTAGACTCTACATCCCACCACTCCTCCACTACCGTCGCACTATGCCTACTACCACTCTACCTCATCTGTTGCCCACGACCCTCGAGGGTTTAGAGTTCAGGATTTAGTAACATGGTTTTGTTCAAAGCGCCAGGATTTCAATTCTAGGTCCCAGAGTAAGTAACTTAGGAATTCAAGAAGGGGTACCTTTTTGGTTGTGTCAACATGGCTTGTTTAAGGGGACCTAACCTAAATTCAAACAACGGGCCCGCCCTGGGTCCTATAGAGTGAACACGAAGAGTTCGCAGTTCGCAGCGGCGGGTATGGCAGAACCCCAACCCCTCAAACCCTGAGGCAACAGCCCTAAACCCTAAACCCTAAACCCTAAACCCTAAACCCTAAACCCTAAATTCAAAAAAACGGGCCCCCCCAAAACCTCAACCTTGAGTGTCTGAAAAACAAAAAAACGTGCTCCCTAAACCCTATAAACCCTGAAAGATAAAACCTCGAACGCCTTTTGTTGTTCCCCTAACTCTATAAACCCTGAAACAAAACCTAAACCCTGAAAAAGACCCTAAACCCCAAACCCCAAACCCTAAACCCTATACCCTATGCGGCACCGAGAGTCTGAAGCAGAGGGGCGGCCTGCGGAAAATTAGAGCCACGAATCGACTTGTTCAGAGAGCCCAGGAAGTCAGGATGACAGAGGGTTAGGGAATACACATACCCAGATATATATATATATATATATCTATATATATATATATAATCTTATTTTATATTATTAAATAGAATTGCATTCTGCATATTATGTTATATTATATGCATATCAATCCAACTTCTTATGTCGTGATACAAATTGTCACATAAGCGGAGGTAAATTATTATGGTATGCTACATCCTGGTACAGGGGCGCAGAGTATCCCAGGGCCGTAGGGAATGGGCTCGTCTTTGGCCCTTCGGGGCTTGGGCTCCTGTTGGCCTAAACCCTAAACCCTAAACCCCAAACCCCAAACCCCAAACCCCAAACCCCAAACCCTAAACCCTAAAGCCTAAAGCCTAAACCCTGCATCTGCAAGTTGTTGGTACAGACCGAATGGTGTGCGATGCAAGGCCCAAGGAGTCCTTGGAGCTTTGCAGCTTTGAGGCCCCGCCAGGGTTTAGGGTTTAGGGTTTAGGGTTTCAGGCTGCAATGTCTGGGGTCTAGTCGCTGACTCTCGCACAAGGCAGGCAAGGTCCGTTGGTCTGTGTAGGATCAAAAAAGGAGAGCTCATGTCAAGCATCTGGGGTTTAGGGTTTCGACTCTGACGACTCGCTACACGCACAGACAAGGCTCCAGGGTTTTTGGGCTTAGTGTTCTGCACGCGTTGAACTGCCACAAAGCCCAAGGAATCGCAAGCACCATGCGCCAGCGCAACTGCAACCGAAACTCCGAAGCCAGTGGCCCAACCCTGAATCCCGATGCAAACCCTAACCCTTCCGGCCGCTAGGGCAGCCGCAATTCGAGGCCACCGAAACCCTGCAGAGAGGGTCATAAGCATCATGCGGCCACGAAATACGGGACGCGAGGGAACTTTAAACCACGACTGCCCAGACTTACCCGAGAAGGCAGCAGTTAGATTGCCATGGGCTCCTGGTTTACATGAGGACCTTTGAGGATGCTGAATTCTGTAACAAGGGATATATTGAAGGATCTGTGCTTTCGCGGGCACTTTCTTGGGGCGAGACTTGCCACAAAACGCTCAACGGATGATCAGAGAAGGCCCCCCCCTCTAAGCAGAAGCCGAAGTAGAGCGCCAATGCCACAATCCCTACTATAGGGGCCGGAATACTTTCTACTAGCACTTCCTTATGGTCCCTATACTTTCATAATGTAATAACCCCAAAACCCTAATTCTAATTTTCGGCCCCCATATCACAGGCTCCTCGCCTGCGTCAGTGCAGCGCTCTCCGCGGGGCGGCGCTCGCCGCGCGGGGCATTGCACAGGGGCAAGCTGCCAAAAGCCCCTGACCAGGGTAGGCCATTAGGGCTTCCAACCCCATATTCAATGAATTATGGGCCCTTTTCCAGGGGTTGTAGGGTATGATAACCCATCCCGGGACATCCCGGCAAGCATGCGCGGGCTCATGGTTTTAGGGTTTAGGGCAAGGGCTGGTTTGCCTGAGGTGTCAGGATTTGGCAAGGAATGGTTGCACGGCAAAGTCGACCCAAACCGATCAACAGGTCCATGAATTTGCCAGAAACACCATCCTCAAACTACGGCCTCCCTGTGCTCAGGTCTTCTGTGTGAGAAGGGTGGAATAATTTTCGTGTGGGGGTCGTGGGCGTGGGGGGGATCAGCGGGCCGACCTCCTTCCAGGAGGGAGGGTAAGGGAGTGTTATCGAGAGGTCCCTTTGAAGCGAGGCTTGCAGCGCGCAGGGGGACTCGCGTAGGTCTGACTCAGCGCTTCCTGTGATTCCTGTGAGGGCATGACGACCCTAACCCATTCCAGCCTCAAAATCCCGAAGAACTCTGTCCAGCAACCTCAAGTATGTAAACGACATAAGGGATAAAACTGTTGAAAAGACTTCCTCCTACCACGCAGGCCTTGAGAGGATCGGGGCCACCTCCATGCGAGGGGACGTGGCCTGCGATCCTTAAGGCCTGGTGTCCTGTGCAAACGTCTCGCATGAAGGTTTAAGGTCTTTCTTGCGCCACCCCGCCTAGCCACAGCACCGCGGGGCTCACTTGGGAGAACCGTTTGCTGTGAAACGTCATACTGGTGAGGACATCACAAGCTCATAGACCCTAAACCCTAAACCCCAAACCCCTCGTACCTCACCCATGGAGTTTCGGGGTGTAGGGCAATCGCCGTTGAGGGTTCGACAGTGCGCTGATTTCAGCCGGCTCAAGAGCCAATGCGCCTGAGAGCCGAGAACACGCACCTCGGGTTGCCGGGCTCATGCCTTGGGGCCCTGTACTATTAGGGTTCTTAGGGCTGTTAGGGCCCGGAACTACTACTAGGGTCTTTAGGCCCTGTGCTACTATTGGGGTTTTGTGGGGCTTTTAGGGCGGTACCATTCTTTGGGTCCTTCGGTAGGAGCCTGAGGGGTGAAATTGGAGGTTTGGGGGGACAGGCGCACCCCACCGACCCCTTAACGATATCCGAAAATCTGCTGAAGCAGCCATGTAACCCTGAGCCCTAAGAACCTTGCGCAGGCCCTAGACCCTAAACCCTAAACCCTTTTTTGCAGCAGGTCTCCTCACCACTGCCTGCCTCGCCCTTATTCCCTAGCAGCCCAGGGACTCGACAGGTTTAGGGTTTAGGGTTTAGGGTTTAGGGTTTAGGGTTTAGGGTTTAGGGTTTAGGGTTTAGGGTTTAGGGTTTAGGGTTTAGGGTTTAGGGTTGATGATGGCTGAGTGTCAGGACAACGACCAGTTTTCGGAGAGGCATTCTCGCTAGGCAGATGCCAAAAGGAAGGGCAGAAGAAGACGGAACTCACCCTTTCGAATGAGCGCCGGAAGAACTTACAGACATCCAAAAACTGAATCCCATAAACCGTGTAAAACCTATGTACTCTTGTAAAAACCCTAGAAACCTTTCAACCCAGAACCGAAAAAGCGACACATTAGCCCTTCACGTGGCTGCTATCAGTGCACCGGCCTTTCTTTGACGGAGCGGTCTCGCCGGGGTAGCTAGGAAAGGGGCCCGTGTATCCCATTCTAGCCAGCGTTGCTAGGGTTTTGGGTTACATGGCGGTTCAACCCTGCTTCAGGTCTATGATCTCCTTCTCAAGGGTCCCATTTGGCGACTCCATGATGTTGGGGCTACTTGTTTGGGTCCTTATTGCAAAGGGGATCCTACGATTTGGGAGGGTCCTTATGAGCTTAAGCCCCCATTTTAAAGGGCACACCGAGCATGCCCTTAAAGGTAAGAAGAAAATTCGTGCACGTGCAAGGCCCCTTCTGTACAGGGCGCAGCCGAAGCCATTTGGCAAAGGCATTGCGAGGCACAGCCTTTCAAGCGGACCTAAACCCTAAACAGTAGCCCTAAACCCTAAACCCTAAACCCTAAACCCGGCTCAAACTGCGAGCCTCTCTAAGAAGTTCTTCACATCGGCAACCTTGGCGGCATCCTCGAAGTGCTGTCGCTCCCGCCGCCTTCACCCCGGGTTTAGGGTTGAGGGTTTCGGGTTTAGCGTTTGGGGGGGGGGGGGGGGAAGAGAGAGAGAGAGGTTGCTGATACTATATTAAACTATTTTGGCTTAAGAACCACCTCCGAAAACGAAACGACGTATTCCTCCTTGTCAGGGTAGTAGGGGGATTAGTGTCTTTTATGTTTCGTTTTTTTGTTTTGGTGGGGGGTTGTTATGCAAATGGTAGTCTGTCTTGTGGTAGGGTAACCCTAAACCCCAAACCTCAAACCCCACTTTCCGACTGGGCCCAAGTCGGGTCGTTTTTTTGGGCAAACCCCAACGCTTTGCCGACATTCGCTAGGCTGGCCCTTAAGACCCTCTGTTACATATGCCTAAACATGATACTCTTAAACCCCATGAGGGAAAATATACGTAAACATCACAGTGGCCTACCTCTGGAACCTCCCAAAACCTATACAGAACTTGGAAGCCTAGCGAAAACCATAGCTTTTTGCTGTTTACCCACAAATTATGGGGGGAAAAGAACTCCCAAGGATCCCTAAGAAAACGCGAGCCTCACATCCAGCAGAACATCCGTGGACTGCAGCTTGTCATTGCATTTTTTCCCCTATGCACAAAAGATGCGATGATCCTCACCCCTGGAAGTCTCAAGAAAAGGGTATAATATACCCCTTTGTTTGGGAATCCCCCCCCCCCCCTTGCTTGTCTGCACCAAGCGGCCGAAGCTCTTCCCAGTCGGCGGCCTCCTAGACATACCCCCCGGCTCGAGGTTTGGGATTTTGTGGGCTGGTGTAGGTTTTGCTTGTGCCACACGTTTAGGGCTGGGTTTCGGGGGTTTCGAGGGACTAGGGTTTTTTTTGGGGAATTTGGGGCGACGTCGGTCACTCTGGCTGGAACCCGGTCGGTGGGGCCTGTACCACCTCGTCCTCCGTCTTGGGCACTGCGGTAGTGACCACGACCTTCGAACAACATTCAGGAGACCCTCGCATGCAAACTTGGCAATGCTGCAATGCTAAGCCCGACATCTAAACATGCACTTTGAATTTTAAGCCCGATGCGCTGCTAGCGTGGCAAAAAAAAACAACTCGCCACATTCTCGGTCATGTGGAAGTGGATCCCGGTCGCGCAGCTGCGCTCGCCACGCGCGCATGCCAACAGAACGCTGCATGAAAACCCTGCCCCGTGCTCCGCAGCCGCAAAGAACTCGCAAACAAAACGCACCCCGACATCCCATCAGCCGGGACCTGCTTCGGCGGCGCCAACTTTGGCTTCGGGATGTTCTTGGCAAATTCCCGGGCCTGCCACAAAGAAGAAGGTCGTGCTGGCTGCAGTGCTACGCAGTGCGTGTTGCTATTGCAAGCGCTGCTTTGTCAAAGAGGCGCCTAGACTCTGTAGGTGGGGGGGGGGGGGGCTCCACTTGGAGTTGGAACGCAGCTAGTCCATAGGCCTTCCGGGAACAACCGGCATCACCCACGGCTTGCAGTGAAATTTCGCTTCACAGGAACGTACATGAGTGAGGATCGATGGGGTGGCTCAAGCTCCTTCATTTTTCCCCTCGCTCGCAATGGCGTCAAGTGACTCCAACACTCTCTTCAGTTCCTGCGGCAGGTTGGCCCTTGCATGGAAGGAACCGAAGAGACCGGAAAAACGGACCTCAGCGCAGTGCAGGAAGAGCCGAGGGCACTGTGGCGCCATGGTCTCAGCCTGCCGGCCGTAAGTCAAATCCCCAACCAGCGGCCGCCCGATGCTGGCAAAATGCACCCGAATTTGGTGTCTCCGCCCAGTCTTGGGTTGAACACTCAGAAGTATCAACTCATCCTCCTCCTCGCCCGATACCGAAAATCTGGCTGTGACCTCGTAGGAGGTGAAGGAGTCACGCCCAGGCATCCCGTCGCCACAAACCTCGCTGATCCAGGTCTCTTCGTCCACCTGGACAGATCGCAGCGGCGTGGATATGCTCCCTGTGGTGCCGACGTCGCCCAAGGGCGTCCCTTCCTTGCAGCGAAAGTTGCCTACCAAACCCCAAACCCTAAACCCCAAACCCCAAACCCTAAACCTTAAACCCTAAACCTTGCGAAGCGTCACACCGTGGGGTGGTGCCAAGACAGACACTTCTTGCACTGCAAGGCCTGAAAACTCAGCCGAGCGGCGCACAAGCAGACATATCGCTTGCTGACGAGGCGGCCCGCGAACTGCGCCTTGATCCAGCGCGCCGAGGGGGAGATCTCTGCCCCTAAGGCCAGTGGGAGCACTCCGGAGGTCGGCAGATCGAGCCTCAGACTCAGGGCTGGCCTGACATAACCCTAAGGGTCCTTGTGCCTGCATAGTATATACGTGGGCCCTGCTACTATATCCGAAGCCGTGTAAGGCCCGAGTATGTGCTGCACAGGTACATGGACCCTTTGGGGAAGAAGCCTTCTAGTCATACAGTAATACCTCAAAAACATCTGCCAAACAAAGGGGTAGCAGCCGCGACACCACGGAGAGGCTGAAGCCATCTACTTGGAGTCGTCCCGCGAGTTGCTCCAGAAACTCCTCTGTGCTGATGCCTTCATACAGGGACCCCCGGACTAAGATCAAACATCTTCAACATAAGACATTCATCCTAAACCCTAAACCCTAAACCCCATAAACCCGAAACCCTAAACGGCCCTAAACCCTAAACCCTAATGTAAGCGGACATACCCCAGATGTCCCTGTGTGTCTCAGAAGCACCAAACTTAAGCCCAACTCGGCCTGCGGGCTTGTCCATGGCAAAGACCCCCCGGGCTGAGGCCAAAACCTGCAATTCTTCTCGGAGTGACCTGGGCCATCGCGGACTGCGGCTAAAGGTTTAGGGTTTAGGGTTTCGGGTTAAGGGGTTTGGTCTGTTTGGGGTTTTGGGATCACGGTGGCGTTTTTGTATGTTGGCACCAACCGATGTAGAATCAACAGCTTGCCCTAGCAAGGGCCGACCTGGGTAGCTCCGCCACCTCCTCCTGTTGGAGCCAAACTTCTTTCCTCGGTAGCCCAGTAACCATATTACTTAATAAGGGCACCCTTTTTGGGTTTAGGGTTTAGGGAACCCAGAACCCCAAAAAAGGGTAAAGGGTACCACTGGGCTGCCAAGTTTCAGCCTCGCCAGCGTCGTCTCCAAAGCCGCTGAGGATGCTGCGCCGGGCGCGATGGCCTTCCTTGCTTGCTCAGCGTCCCCCACCGACATGGGTTTAGGGTTTAGGGTTTAGGGTTTAGGGTTTAGGGTTTAGGGTTTAGGGATTAAAAGCTTTTGGCATCTTGCTTGCCATGCTAGCGGTAAGATCCTGTTCTTTTGGTCTGCTTACGCCGGATACCGACGCCGGATGGCAACCGCAGCTGCTTGCCCACACACACACGCAGCTACATGCAATCTCTAGGCTCTAAGGCTCGATGTACCGAGTTCGTATATCCCAAAAGCTCCCAAAACTAGCTCTATCGTAGCTCCGAAAGCTCTATCGTAGTTCGTCGGCTCGAAGATGTGGCATGCGCACGAACACGCGCTTGCTGACTTGCTACAAGCGTCTGCTGCACAAGGGCGTGCAGTATAGAACCCGCCGCGGTGCCTGACGGAATGACTTGGCTGGCAAGCATGTGGTCCAAGAGCTGCAGTGCCGCTGGCCACTGGGTTGCTCGCTCGCAAGCGCTGAGCACAACCTGCCAACTGATCTCGTTGGGGCAGAGCTGCCAGACACGGGCCCTGCTGAAAAGGTCCAGCGCTTCAGTCCACCGCTGCCCCTTTTCGCACGCACTCATGGCAGCGTTGAGCGTGATGAGACCTGGTGTACTCGACCCTTTGCTTGACATCGCGGCGAGAATGGCCAGGGCCTTGTCCCACACCCCGCACTTCTCGCAGGCACTGATGGCCGCATTGAAACTGATCTCGTCGGGGTACATCTTCTCTGTCGAGATGGAATCCTTAGAAAGGGATTCGTAGCAGCTCCTGCGGCGTGTCTGGTTCCCACTAGAGCCAATCTTTAAAGCTCCCACATAAGATGTACTGATTCTTTGTCTTGTAGTGCTAGCCCTGCTTACTCAAGGGACGAGAATGGCCAAGGCGTGCTCCCACTGGTGCTTGCAGCTGCTGATGGCAGCATTGTAGCTTATCCTGAGTGGTGCTTTTCAAGCCCTTTGAAATTTATTCATGAACAGGTTCCCTTTAAAAAGGGAAAGAAGGGAAACTTAAAATTCTCTCGCAGCACTACCCAGTATCTGGTCAGCGAGCGATTCGGCCGACATCACCGCCAGAAGCTGCAAGGCAACGTTCCATTGGCTGCTCTTTTCACAGGAGCTCATGGCCGCATTGTAGCTGACCTAGTTCATGGTTGGGATAATATTTGAAAATTTACATGTTTATTCCTTATTGGGTTTAAGTACCCTGAAGAATGTAAATGATGCCCAACTATGACAAAGTGACAGTGTTTGCCTGCAAGTGGTCGCCTTGCAGCTCTTCGAGCAGAAGCAGCGAGTGCCGCCAACGGCCCTCTGCCTCGAAAGCGCTGATGGCAATGTTGAAGCAGACCAAGTCCAGCTCCAGGCCCATCTGACCTTGGATGGAGCCTTGAAACCTTCTGAAACATATTCCCGGGCTTCTTAAACCCAATAAGGGATATATATATATATATATACATATATATACATATATATATATATATACAAATATATATATATATATGTGTGTGTGTGTGTGTGTATGTGTATATATATACATACATATAAAATGTCCCAAGGGCCTACCCAGCGACGTAGACGCTGGAGGAGACCCAGCACAGAGCCCCACCGGCCGCGCTCCTGGCAAGTTCGCATCGCCGCTCCCACCATGATGTTGTTGGGCACAAGGCGGGCCTTGGTAGGGTTTAGGGTTTAGGGTTAGGGTTTAGGGTTTAGGGTTTAGGGTTTAGGGTTTAGGGTTTAGGGTTTAGGGTTTAGGGTTTAGGGTTTAGGGTTTAGGGTTTAGGGTTAGGGTTTAGGGTTTAGGGTTTCCGGTTTAGGGTTTAGGGTTCCTGATTGGGGCTTGGTAGCCCAGTAGCCATATTATAATTAAGGGTATACCCCTTTTTTGGGGTTGGTTACTTGATAAGAGAACCTTGAACCACAAAAAAAGGGGGGGCTAACACAAAAAAAGGCTACCACTGGGCCTACTTGGGATGTTCCCCCTTATACTAACAGCTCCTTAATAGGGATTCTAGTGGGGGGTCTATACTCCCTATTAAGGAGCTGTTAGTCTAAGGGAGAACATCCCAAGGGCCTGCCAAGGCGCGCCAGCGGCTTCTTCGAGGAGGGCAACTGCCAGCTGCCAGCTGCCTCCCTCCCTGGCTGCGCCCACAGCCGCGCTGTAGCAAATCATATCCTTACTTCTCCAACAACTTAGGAATAAGAAAGGTGAACCGTGTTATTCCTACTAAATCCTTGCTTCTCCAACCAGCCAGGAATCGAAAAAGGTTAAACGTTATGATTCCTACTAAAAAAGGAAACCCCAAAAAATCAAAGTTCAGCTATTGGCTAAGTAAGTATCTGGGAGCACCTCATGTCCGGGCATGCCGCGAAAGAGCTCGAGGGCCTGCAGCCAGGCGCTGCCCTTCCTATACTGAACTTTAGGGTTTATAGGGTTTAGGGTTTAGGGATTGAAGTACCCAAGAACTAAAAAATGATTCCCAAGAATTCCTAAGCTTCTGGCAGGCGCTGATGGCTGGGACATAGCAGAACACGTCCAGCAGCTGGTCGTGCTGGAGCTCCTGAGAGATGGGCAGGGCAGGCATGTCCATCAGAACCCCAAGAGTAAGCCTCACAAGAATCAAGAAACCCCCCGAAAAAAACAAACTATAAAATAAAATAAGAACAGAAAGTGCAAAGAACCAAATGCCCATCCCCATAGCACCTGAGCCTGAACTTAAGCTGCCCAAACCATCTACGACCCCAAACCCTTTTGTAGAAACAGGCTTCCGTGTATCCGCCCGAGAGTGTCCCACCTGTTCTCTGAACAAGGCAAGACCCCCCCCCCCCCCCCCCACAAAGCCTTCCTGGCAACAACCCTAAACCCTAAACCCTAAACCCTAAACCCTAAACCCTAAACCCTAAACCCTTCCTGGCAA